AACAACGACAACAACACAAACGACAACGACAACGACAGCGACAGCAGCAGCAACAGCAACACCACCACCATCACCGGACCATCACCTTCACCTTCACCTATGCCTATACCATCACCACCACCACTACCACCACCACCGCCATCACCACATACTAATACCACCAACAACAACAGCAACGCAACGCCAACAACAACAACAACAACATCAACAGCAACGCCAACAACAACAACAACCAACCAATGACCAATAACCAACGACAAACAAGACCAACACCACCAGCAACAACAACAACATCATCATCAGCAGCAACAACTACAAAAAAACATTCGACAACGAGAGCAGCAGCAGCAGCAACAACAACCACCACCGCCATGACCACCGCCGCCACCGCCACCGCAACAACACCAACGTAACAACGACACGACAACAACAACTATAATAGCGACAACGGCGACAACGACTCTGACAGCGACGACACCAGCGGCAACAGCAGGTGCAGCAGCACAGCGGCACAAGAGGAACATATCCCACAATCATCATCACCGAATCATCACAGAGTCATCACCAATCAACCAATCAACTATTCAACAATCATGATGATCATGTGAGATCAACTAATTCATCATCTACATCAGCAAACACAGCCACATCAAAACAATCAACATCCCAGCGGCAATCACCGCCACCACCAACAACAAGGACCGCGTCATGACACCATGGACGCCCACATCAGCAACAAAGCGAAACAACGACCTCATCGACCGCAACAACATCAACAGCGACAGCAACAGCAACAACAACAGTAACGAAACAACACAGCAACACACTCACACCGTCACCACAACCAGATAAAACAGTGACAACAACTTACTCAACAACTACCACACACAACGAACCACAGCGAACCTTTATTTAAGTATCACATCAGCCACATCCATGCAGGCCACATCCATGCGGTCCATGCAGTCAGTTAACAACCACAATGAATCCAAGGACCACCATAAACCACACAACGCAACAACAACAACAACAACAACAGTAACAACAGCTGACAATAGACTCAGACTCCAACCATCGTCACAACCGCCGCCAAGAAGAGCGATTGATAACAACAGCAGAGCAACAACAGCCACAACGAAACACTATCACACCATCAGCAGCAGCTGTGCCATCAACAACTCGAGAACAAGAACCATAATATTCACAACAGCCACAGCCACAACTACAATTAACCACACCATCAGCAGCAGCTGCTTCAACAACACAACAATGCTCAAGTAACGACTCTGACTATTTAACGAGTTAACAAGGAGCAGTAGCACTCAGATTCACAATAGGCGGTAAATTTCAAGGGCCTGCTGAGATGTTGCTTCCGAATGTCGCTGCCACAAGAGCTTTGGGGGCCATCATGTCTCACGTGGCGACATCTGCTGCACGCACAGACCAGAGCACCGACGGAAGAATGAAAAGAGCAAGCGAGTTTTGAGCTTTGTTGTTGCACTATTGCATCTCAACAATCGCTTTGCATTTCGTTCGAGTGCGAATCATG